TGTATTCTGCTTTTAGAGCTGATAAATTATGTACATGTAAATGGGTTGAATGTAGACAATGTTAATGTTTTTGCTACTGCTGTTGGCTAGGAACGCTAGGCTGGGACACCAATAAAAAAAAGGGAGCACAAAGCACTAGATCAGTTTCTATCACTTATACACTTGCAATTTACAACCATTCAAATAACTAGCATGTTGGAAATACTTCACGAAAACATATTAAACATAAATCAGTCGAATGCAATGTATTTTCTTTTTATTACACACCTTTTTAGCTTGATTACTTCTAGTACTCTATTTATTCCATATTTATTTCAATGTCCTCAAATAAAACGAGCAATAATACGTAACAATAAGGATAAAACACACACTGAAGTGTATTTGGGGTATTTTTTATCTAAATCCACTATCAAAATAACAAATTTTTCGTTTTTAAGCTGTGAATGTATTATAAAAACTACATTTACGATCCGGGATTTTTGGTGGTGGCGACGCTGATAACGCCCTCTACTAGCAAAAAGCAAAAGCAAATTTCATGAACATAAATATGTATTTTTTTATGATTATAGTTACATGTTTGTGTTTGTTTTTGTTTCATCCATTACTTCGGATATTTGCTTCGTGTTTTCTGTTGGCTTTGTTATTGTTTCCCAGCGCCACTTTAGAAACAGCACTGTTCATTGGAATCCAACAGTAGATGGTAGAGTGGGGAATTCTACCTATGCATTATAATTAATATTTTGTTTTTTTAATTAAATAAAAATGATTGCCGCCGTTGAGATTCGATCCTGAGAACTTCAGATCTCAAAATCATGACTCTAACCACTGAGTCTAGGTATATTAGGATAGCTAAAAGAATTATATTTTGGTTTTTATTTCAAATTTTTAGTTTTAAGAAATATTTTGATTCAAATTATTACTACCTATCCTATCAACCCCTGTGGGAACAGCATTACCGTACTGCTGGCAGCCTTTACATTTCGGATCGGTAAAGTATCGATATTTCGAGTATCGATACATCTACATTCGATATTTTACTGTATCGATACTTACCGTTCCGAAACGTATCGATACCTAATATCGATACTTTTAAATGTATCGCGCATCCCTACTACGAAATATGGGTTGCCTGCGCATGGTAGCAAGTTTTTAACCGGATTTATGACAAGTGATGGGTTACATTCCGAAAACGTCAGCGCAGTAAAAGCTGCGCATCTTTTTCCCGCACAGGGAGTGTCATAGGCCTGGTTCTGTTTATAAATACGGACATAAGTTATGTATTTTGTCATTTAATTTCCCCATTCGTATACTAGAATTGGCTTTAGACACTTGGTGATATCATCTTTAGTTTATGAGATATATCCATTACAACTTTTTCAATTATTATTAGGATATTAGATTTTTATAATATCCAAGAAGCTAGCTTGTTGTTAAATAAATTACTAGTGAAATTTATACCTAATGAAATTAGAAGGTATCCAAATTATTTGTACATTCAATAATAAGTAGGTACTACTTTCACGAAAAAATAATATATTAATCTTAATTCAACATAGTCAGTCTACACTCTACAAAGTACGTACCGAAAGTCCAAAATAAATAAAAAAGGACGCCGACCATATCTACGAAACAATTTATTCATCTGTTATTTTTTTAACAAAAATTGTTCTCAAAAATAGTTGGAAATTATTTTCAAGTTTCCAACTTCACAGCTAGAGGGTATAATCCTCATTATTATATAAAGACTTGTTTAAAAAAAAATTAAATTATGTTATGTCGAACATATCAAAATCATAGTCTGCAAGAAATTTTACTAATTCTGACTACCCGCTCGTTTATCATTGGTCATATGCATTTCGCAATTTAGTAGTCTACTTAGAAACTTGAAAATAACGTCCATCGATTTCTTTCATACGTTGACAATTTTTTCCCAAAATTCTACGGTATATAGTTTCTAAGATACAAGCTATATCCTAGAGCCAACGACAAACGGCGTCCTGTCTTATTAGGACATCCGGTACTTTAGAAAACAATAAATATCTCCTAAACTGATAATTAGGAATAAAAAACCGATGATAATAAATATTTACTAAAAAAAATTAATTAAAATTAAAAATTTCCTTTTACGATTGGTACGCCTATGCACGTTTTCAATACATCCAGATACAGCTTTAGAAAACAATAAATATCTCCTAAACTGATAATTAGGAATAAAAAACCGATGATAATAAATATTTACTAAAAAAAATTAATTAAAATTAAAAATTTCCTTTTACGATTGGTACGCCTATGCACGTTTTCAATACATCCAGATACAGCTGGCGGATGATGACGAGTTGACCGCCATGTTACGGCAACATAATCGGTTCACTCCGATTTAGAGATAGAATAATTTAGGCCTTGACTTCACAACAAATACATATTATCACACACACTCACATACTCACACACTCATACACTCGCACACTCGCACACTCGCACTCTCGCACACTCACCCCTCGCACACTCGCATTCTCGCACACTGACCCCCTCGCACACACAGGCAACCGCTCGCGCACCCACACTTACACTTACACCCATACCCATACACCCACACACCCACACACCCACACACCCACACACTCACACACCCACACACCCACACACCCACACACCCACACATTCACACACCCACACACACACACACCCACACACCCTCACACCCATACACCCACACACCCACACACCCACACACCCACACACCCACACACCCACACACCCACACACTCACACACCCACACACCCACACACCCACACACCCACACACCCACACACCCACACACCCACACACCCACACACCCACACACCCACACACCCACACACCCACACACCCTCACACCCACACATCCACACACCCACACACCCACACACCCACACACCCACACACCCACACATCCACACACCCACACGCCCACGCACCCACACACCCACACATCCACACACACACCAACCCACCGTCCCACACAGACATCGTGAAAATAATAAAACGGGGTACGGACGACTTTAGGTCCGGTGGAATTTTAAAGAAATTTATTTTTTTATCAGAAAAAGCGTATTTTAAACAGTACAAAAAAAAATTGCGGTAAAAAAATTATTTAATTTCTATAAAAGTCAGCATTTTGGCGACTGTAAACATGGAAACTCGATGGTTTCTGTCAAATTTGGAAAATATTAGTTAATGGAAAATTGTGATTGCCCATACCGGTCCATAAATATGCAACAAAAAAACGAAGCAACGACTTATCGTAAGGTGGCGGCTTGGCCACCACCAAAAAACATTAACCCATACCTGGCTACGCCGACCGGCATAGATTCCAACGGCCTGGACACAGCTCAAATTGAATTGAAAAAGTAACCTTTTTTAGAAAATTTCTTGAGATTGCGCATACCAGTCCATAAATATGCAACAAGAAAACGAAGCAACGACTAATCGTAGGGTGGCGGCTTCGCCGGCACCAAAAAACATCAACCCATACCTGACTACGCCGACCGGCATAGACTCCAACGGCCTGGACACAGCTCAAATTGAATAATTGAAATGAAAAGTCTCAAATAAACACATTTATATTCTGGTTTTATAATCTGGTCTGGAGCTATTGAAAAAACAGCCACTGTCATTCCTGTTATGTTCGTTCTTTTACTATGTTTGACAACTCCACATTTATAGAAATAAAAATATCAGTTGTCATATTATTCATAAACAAAAAATAATATAAAACGGTATTACCATGCATATATTTTTTTATAATAAAAAGCAATTGGCAACATCGCTAAAATCACGCACAGGCGCTCTTCGTCGAAAAAATTAAAAACAATATGGCTACGTGAGAATGTCGTAAATAAATGCATATTCTTAATTTTTTAGCTTACAAATGTGTTTTAATAATATTTGTTGCTTTAATTAGGTTAGTGTACACTTATAGAAGATTAAAAATCTGATGTGTCCAACACATGACTTTCCTATCTAGTTAGTATAGGCTTTTTCAGGTTATTTTGTACAACCTATTGCAGCACCTCTATAAATGTTTAGAGGATAAACTAAATATATATATTTTCCACATACATCTAACTCGAAACATTTTTTCTATAGATATTCATTGAAAACGAAAATAATGAAAAATTTAAATTTAACGCTTTTCCTCCAATTTTTCCATTACGGTCCATTTTAGAAAAATCATGTATAAACAAAAATTATAGAGATCGATATCGTAAACAACTTTTAGTTTAACAATTTTCTTCAGTGTTATTCGGAGACACATAGTCAGACGAGCCCAGGAGAGAAAAAAAAACAATTTTCTTAAAAATCAAAATTTTGCACATTTTTTCAAATTTCTCGAATACGGACCATTTCAGGAAAATTTGACATCAAGCAAAAATTATAGATAATAATATTAGAAGTAACACACAGACACACAGACACACAGACACACAGACACACAGACACACAGACACACAGACACACAGACACACAGACACACAGACACACAGACACACAGACACACAGACACACAGACACACAGACACACAGACACACAGACACACAGACACACAGACACACAGACATCATCGCGAAAACAGTCGAAACGGATTCAGGGGACCCCAAAACGTAAAAACCCGTCGAAAACTGGAGGTCGAAAAAATCATGATTCCTATACTTTCCTTATCTGTATACAGATAGGAAAGTAAAAAGTGTAAAAATATTATGGTTTTACTTAATCTTTATGGAAAAAGTGACAAAATTACTGTCCCTAATATCGACCGTAGCCTCAAAACGTATTCAGGGGACCCCAAAACGTAAAAATCCGTCGAAAACTCAAGGTCGAAAAAAATTATGATTCCTATACTTTCCTTATCTGTACTAATAAAATGATCCTTATATCTAATTAAAAATAACTTAAATCTGCATTACATTCGACTCAGCTACTTAAAAAATAAAAAGAGTAGTCATATACTTTACTCACCAATTTATTATTAAATACGAAATAACACAAATAACGTGTAGCGTAAACCTTCGAGCATATATATTTTATAGAGTCTTCATTCAACAGTGTTTGTTTGGATTGAGAGGGGGAAATGATTAGACGCTAAAACCAAAGTCGCATCATTTTTACGGGGTTTGCAATTAATATAAATAATAAATTTGATACATACCCTCAAAATTCTTTAAATTAGGCACATCTTTTATAAACTTGCATTATTAGTATTAATAATATTATTATTTTTGAAATAATAGGCAATAAAAAAGATAAAAAGCTTATATTTAAAAATCAAAAATATAAATAAATAGTAGGTATATTATACAAATATTTATGATATCTTTTAACACACGTGTACGAGAATTACAATACAAGAAGTTTTTCCAATAATTTATTAAATATAAAAATATTATTCGTAAACATTTTTCAGTAGATTACTAAACGATGTACTACAAATAGAAGTCAAGCTAATACTTAGGTACATTTGCACTGCCAGTCGTTAACAAATAAGTGAAGCTTAATTTTTATTGGAAAATTGTCTTAAGCTTCGATTATTTCATAATGACTAGGAGTGCAAATATAAAAAGCTTAAAATGACTTTTTTATTGAAAAAATCACATTAGGCTTTGCTTATTTCTTAACGACTAGCAGTGTACTTAATTAAAGAACATGGGTACATTTTTTCAAATTGATAATATACACAGTAATCTAAGGAGTATGGAGTACCGCAGGGCACAGTGCTGGGTCCTATATTATTCAACATCTATTTAAACAATTTATTTTTTATAAAAAGTGCAGGCAACATTATTACATACGCTGATGATACGGTAATTTTATATACAGATAACACATGGAAAGATTTAAAGCTAAAAGTCGAAAAAGACCTTCAATTAATTAAATCCTGGTTTGAAAACCGCCTGCCAACAATAAATGAGAGTAAAACATTTTTTTTACCCACCTCTGCTATCATATCTGGTCTTCCAACATACAGTAATCTTACTGTTACTGATGACTTTCAAATAAAAGTAACATATAAATTCAAATATCTAGGGGTAGTTCTGGATAGTCACCTTAGGTGGGACAAATATATTGAGTACCTCCTGAAAAAATACGTTATCTTATCTATAATTTCAACAGCCTAAAGAATATACTTAACTTTACCCAGTTAAAAACAGTTTATTATGCGCTTGTTGAATCTCATATTACATAGGGAATAGTAGCCTGGGGCGCTGTTAAAAAAACTCATCTAAATAATCTTATAATCTGTCAAAAGAGACTTTTAAAATTTTTATTTAAAAAGGATAGACTTTACCCCACAAACCCACAGGTGCCATTCGGTAAAGTACAATGTTTTAACAAGCTTTTGGGGTATATTGTATTTCATTATCAGATGGCGGTAAAAATTTACAGTGGGCTCTTGGGCTATTATGATTTGATTCTGTATGCACCAGGGATACAAATCCGAGTTGCGCAATGTATAAACTGGAACATTGAGATCAAAAGTGCCGACGCAGAGTGAGCGAACTGATTCTTTAGCTATAAACTGTGGCTCTACTATATGCGACCTCAACTTCGCACCCTGTCATGAACTATAACGAAAATAATCATTAACAGCTCAGCTCAAAAATTCGGCTTACTCTTCGAATTTTTCTAATTTTTTATTCGAATTTTTCTAATTTTTTGTTCGAATTTTTTAATTTTTTTAATTATCTATACAACCATTATATCCATTTATATTTAGAGGTGGTAAAGTGACTTGTTCTTTGAGGGGTGACATTTTTTTCGTCTCAAAGTCCAATCCGTCGTAGTCAAAGTTCATTTTCCCAAGTCTAAGGGTTCTATATATCGACCTTCTCTGGGGCGGTATAGCGTGACTTCTGCGTGAATCTGTGCCTCGGTTACTAAGGTCTTAGCATTAGCGGTATCCGGATTCAACATGCCGATCGGGTAGCGGTTTTCTATACGGTTCCTAAGAGTGTGTCACCCAAGGAAATCTTCCCGGTTCCTAGCTCTAAACAGATGTCGTGTCTCCTTAGCATGTCCATGCCAAGAACCAAATCGGCGCTTAAATTCGGAAAGTGGGTTAAACTTTCGGTGACGGATCGGGTTCCCAAGTTGTTGGAACTGTTGTTTTGGGTTGCCTTTTCTGGAAAAGATGATCAACTATTCGGTTACCGATGTATGACCTGGAAGCACCAGTTCAAAGCTAAGAAATTTTCACCTAGTATTTCCAATATTAGGTGCGGACGAATGTATCCCTCGGGTATTAAAATACTGTCTTGAGAGGCTAACGCAGGCTGAAACTGCTGGGGCCACCCTGCCGTGCAGTTTCCGGTTCGTTTCCCGACTGTCTACAAGAACAATCTTTTGACAATACTCCGGCTTTTAAGCATCTCGAACAAAAGATCTTAACGGGGTTGTTGCAATTTGTGCGTAAGTGGCCTTTTTTGCCACATCTCCAACACAATACTCCTCCACGGGAAGTAGACGGCTGTGGTTCATATCGTAGCGGCGGCAGATGGATAGATACGGTTTTAAATACGGGTGCTTGTCGGGTTTCGGAGGCATTACTCTATTGCTACTGGGTACTCGATCAGCGGGTGCATAGCGAGTAATGCCTAATTTCAGGTTAAGGTTTCCGGCAGGTCAACGGCCTGCCAGAAGGTTAGCTTATCGGAGAAATCCGTCTTTTGGATTTGCTGTCTCTATTCGAGTAGCAGGTTTCGCTACAACCAATCTAGTTGTTGTTCGTTACTGAACCCGCCATGACTTCTCATTAACGTCTGCAACTCGGTCACGTAACTCATTACGGACTCTGTGCGTCGTTGAGTTCTCCGGCTAATCTCGAATGCGAGATCGATCTGGTAATTTGCGGAAAAGTACACAATCCGGAAGTCTCTTCGAACGCCTCCCCTGTCTGCCAGGAGGTTCGGTTACTTCTAAACCACAAAGCTGGTTCACCAGTTAATAGCTCAGGTAAACACGGAAGCATTCGGTCCTTATTGATTTCTTTCGGGATGCAAATCTCGGGTAGCCTTTCTAAAAAGGATGCAGGGTCGTCTCGATTTCCAAACGACACGCGCCAGTCTTGTACTCTTAATGGTTAGGGTGGTGCCAAGATTTCGATAGCCACGGCTGGCTCGGAGTTCAAATCGATCACTAAATCGGCGTTCCCTATAGCAGACACCAATCTTTTGCGTTTTTCGTTTAATGTGCCATCAGTGGCTAGTTGCCGTTGCTTCAACTCTAGCGTGAGTTCGGGATTCTTTAAGGTGTACACCCAGGTGACTGGCGGTACGGTTCCGGTTTAAGTGTCTCTACGGCGGCGGCTACGTCGACTGGAGCTTCGGATGTGACTTCGTCGTCGTTTAAGTCGGACATAAACTTACGATGATCCGATCGCGGAGCGGGTTTTAGTAGCAAGAGAGGAATGAGACCCGTGAAAATATTATTATCGAGAAACAAATTGGGTAAGTAAGGCTCTCGGAAAAGTATTAAAAAAAATTTAACCAAACTTTGGGGTAGGCTTATTCCTTTTCTACTTTAATTTTTTTTCTCGGGTTTTTTTAACTCCGGGTACTGGCGTATCATTCACTTGTTTTCGGGACGGCTATCTAAAGGCGATCAAGAAATTAAGGTGTATAAAATCTCGGGGTCTTGGGACTTGGGATACGCTCCACGAAATTTTAAAAGAAAATTAATATTGAAAAACTGGTACTTAAAATAGGACGCGATTGCCCTGGTTTTCGAAAAAAAAAAAGAAAGCAAATTGATTCGGGGCACTACAGCTTACGGAACTACCTATCTAGTAATTACGGGGTCGGAAACCTATCTAGAAAATATCTGGTCCCTGTTCGGGCGCCATTATTTGAGAGGTTTTCTCAATTGGTTAGAAATACTCTCACTTGTGACATTCGAACTAAGTATGCTTAGGCGCCAGTTTGTTTTAGAGTGGTTTGCTTCACTTTACCTATTGGAAGTAATAAATTGAGATACCAAAAACCTGCGTAACATTGCTCCCTCCTCTCTAGTTATTTGCCCCGAATAACTTGATTACCGGGGCCTGGATAGAGCCAATGGGGAGGATCCGGACCACAATATGGCGCTAACTTCTTAATGTGAACTGCCTTGGGTTTACTTCCCGCTAGATCAGGTCGTTGATTTTCTTGAGGACGGTGTAGGGGCCTTCCCACCCAGACAGCACACCAAATCCTTTAGATATCTACTGAAAATCCCAATATCCACTGAATGTCCAGTCCATGGTAGATATATATTTTATATCCATGAAATGTAATTTATAGACATGCAAATGTCCATAAATAATAGTAATTATATAGCAAATTATTAAAAAATTACGCCATTGTGCTCGCCATTGTGGCTAATAGTACCGTTCAGATATTTAAAATTAATTTTTTCAATATATCCCATGGACATCCACTATAAATATAAATATATCAAAGTCTAAGCGCGGACGCAAACCATCGTGGATATCTACTAGATGTAATTTTTGATTTTGCTTCCTAAGTATAGATGGCGATACCACTTTCGTATCTACTCATGCTCAACCCGCCGTAAATGAGTTCGATCGAATTTTTTTGGCAATCAGACTATTAGAGACTGTAGTCGAGAATTTCCATTTATTGCTGAAGAGTCCTAATAAGGATGACTTTCTCCTTAGTGCCCTTATAGTGGGCAAAATCAAAGGCAGATTGTTGGAAATATTTTTTATCTCTATTTTCTTTCGAGGTTATTCAATAATCATTGGTTACTTATGAACCTCTACTAAAGATACCTATAAAATATTTTGCTGAATATCTGAATTCTATATCCATATTGGATATCCACAAAATATATTCTGTGGATATCTCTGGGATTTCTTGTATTGTCTGGAAGATACTCATTAGATATTTTGCTAAATATCCATAGGATATCTTCTATATTCTGGATATAGACGGACATTTGGATATCCATATTAGATCCACGGAATATTTCTGATATCCTGTGGATATATTGGATATCCACAAA